CTTAGCAAAGAACCCTATGTACCAAAAAAGGTCTCAACACATAGATATTAGATATGACTTTATCAGAAGTGAAATAAGGGCTGGTAAAATAGAAATTATGTATGTAGCAACACATGAAAATGTGGCTGATATATTTACGAAGGCTATAAGTTAGATTAAATTAAGTAGATTCAAAACATTTATAACTAGTAAATACATATTAATTTGTTAATTTAGTTAATGAGCAAGTGAGGGGTGTTGAGTCATGCTCATAAACCACAGAAACATGTTAAACTTATTGCACATAATAATATGCAAAACTAAAATTCTCTGGCGTGTCATTATTTTGATTCATCTTGTTGATTTTTAGTGTTGCCGTACCAATGACATTTGAAAAGACTAATGAAATTAATTTTTGGTGATAATGCAAGAAAGGTCAGTATTTTTAATTGACAAATTATCCAATGTGTTATTGGGAAAATCCCACAAAAATCAACAGATGTATCAATATAAAACAAATGAAGTGCGAATTTCACCACGAAAATGACATTGAGGTTTTTTATAACAAATATAACAAAATTCTAGACATAAGAACAAACAATGACACTATGATAGGTGAACTTTATAATAAACATACCTTAACAAATTTTGAAAGAATAAAGACGACGCAACCATCTACAGATGTCTTTGCTTTTTCTTGATAATAAAGAAATTGGAATAATCAATAAATGCTTGATTTTAATCAACTACTGTTTTTATTCTAAAATATTGAATTCTGTTCACAACAGCGAAACGGTAAAATGAGATAGGCAAATTTTTATATATTAGTTATGACTAATGAGAATACGCAAAGAAGGGATGATTTATAAATTTTACAACAAATTATGTTTCAGTTAAATTTGATAAACTTTATACACAGTTTACATATATTTATTTGAATTATTTAAATGTTTTAGAAAACTAAATTATTAATAAACGCAAAGTTGAGGCAGCCAGGCAAAACACATAATACCATTTTTACCAATAAGATAGCTCAAAAAAATAAAGATTATAAACAACAACTTTTCCAATAATTATTTTTGACGACTGATACTAGATAAGACGGTTAATTTTCTCACATCTCAGTAATCAGAGATACTTCAAAATTGATAGCGTTTGGACTTGACAGTTTATTATGCAAAGTTTTCCAACGTTAAATTATCTAAAATTTATTTGTGATTGTTTAACAAACCCCATCAAAATCAACAAATGTTTGTCATATCAAAAATGCCTTTAAACAAAGACACAGAAGAACACAAAAATAGTGATCATGCAAATCTGTAGCAACTAATTGTTCCATAGATATCTAACGCAAAATTTGCGAAATGTAAACATCTAGATAATAAATTTCATACTCTCTTTCGATGTAAATATTCTGGTGCTACATTGTATAAAATGTAGTACACGTTATGATAAAAGCCATGTTAGAAAAAGAAAATTATTGCACATAATGACATGCACATGTAACATTCTTTGACGTGTCATTATTTTGACCCAACACATTAATTTAATAAACTTTGCTGTATTAATATAATTTGAAATAAACGATTGTAGTAAATTGGTATTGATGTGAGAAAAGTCGTATTTTCCACGTGTAATGTATCCAAAATTTATCTGTGTTTTAAAATCCCACCAAAATGAAGAAAATTTATCCATATAAAACATACGTGGCACTAATTTATAAGTTATATTTAACTACAAAGTTCGCGACATCAAAACTAAACAATTGATACATGGAAACGAAACATTAAATTAGAAGGTTAAATTACACAATTACATAAAGGCGAGTAAACTTTAAAATCAACATACCTCAACGAATTTAGAAAGATTAAAAACGACGCAACCAACTACATGATGTGTTTGCTTTTGCTTGATAATAAAGAAATCGGAATGTTAAATAAATGCTTAGTTTTAATCACCTGCTGTTTTTATTGTAAAATATTGAATTCTGTTCATAACAGCGAGACGATAAAATGAGATGAGCAAATTTTATATTTTAGCTATAATTGAAATATACACGACAGGGATTGATTTACAAATTTTATTGCAAATTCAATTTCAGTTCAAGTCAATCAACTCTTAAATGTTGTACACATTTAACTAATATTAATTTTCAGTATTGACATGGGTGTACGGGACCAAAAACATCAGGATACGGACATTATTTTGCTCGACGAAAGCGGAAATCCTTTACATACAGTGTCGTAGTTAGACATGAAGAAAGACATGAACTTCTGGGGAGCATATTTTCTAACGCCAAACGCGTGAGCCTTTCTAGCGAGTCTATAAAGTCATGCTCACCTTTGGAAAATTTCTAAATCTGGAGTTCGTCAATAACGATTATCAGTGTTTCTGGAGTGTTATTTTTCATAATTCTTAAAGTTATTTGCTTCAAGAAAAACATTATTTTTATTGTTTACTTAAACAAAGCTACTGCCAAAATCCTTGCATTTAATTTTAAAATTTCTTTGTCAGAAAATTTCACCTAGTTTAGTAAGGACAACTTTCAAAGTAATTACAGCATTACTGAGGTAAATTTAGTATCTTAAATAGCTGTGCTTCTATCAAAATTGTGAGGATGTCGTGATATTGTCATGATAAATTTATTCTCCTTGGTGACATTTCAATAAATAAAATGCTCAACTGGGTTTTAACCAAAAGCATATTTTAATCACTTATAATGTCGGATTTTTCCTTTCAATAACTACGAAAAGTGGGCCGTTCAGATTGTGGGCCTACATGCTTTAATTTGGTAAGCTTCCTCCCCCCCGACTTTTAATTGTAGCGTTTGTTTGAGGACAGTGTTAACTTAGAGATCAGTGTCAACTTGATCTCGTCCAAGTCACATGTTTTTCATGTGCATATTAAAAGCCGTGTTAGGATTTATATATTAGAGATTAGAGGGAGGCCTTCATCCCATCTAATCCCAAAAAGGTGATTACGATGATTTAGTATAAGGGTTTGCGCATGAAATCTTTGATTGGCTAATCTATAATCTAAAACAAATATGGCGGATTCAACTCTCGTCTTTCGTATTTCAAAAATTTTAGTTGACGATATATTTTCTTACTTGGAGCAATACAATGTTTTCTGTTAGGATTGTAGATGCTGATTTTTACTAGGGAAAACCTATAGATGACTTAGATATTTTGTTTTCCAAATTTCGCGAGGCGAATGTTAACCGTGTTCCAGTTTTGAGAATATTTGGCTCAACTCTTGGTGGACAGAAAACTTGTGTTCATATTCATCAAGTATTTCCTTACTTATACATACCTTACGATGGAACTAAGCCCACAGATAAATATCTGAAACAATTTACGACATGTGTAGACTTTGCTGTTCAAGTTGCGTTTGGTAGAACATCATCTTCTATGAAATATGTTCATAAAACTGAAACTGTTAAAAAAATGTAAGTTATTTTTTTTCTCCTCATGTTGACAAAGCTTACTATTATTAAATCTTTTTTACTCTCTTTCTTTACATCAAAATACAAAATCTTCTATTTTCGACCCAATAACGTTTCAATATCATTCACCCAAAATGATTTTATCTTTTAGACCATTTTATGGTTATCATGAAAACGAAGAAGAGTTTATTAAGATGGAGTTGTACCATCCAAGAATAATTCCCAAGTAAGATATATTTTTCATGTTTTTCTAGCATAAAACGATATCAAAATATTTCGTTTTTTTCAGACTTGTTGATCTTCTTCAGAATGGAGCTATATTGAACAAGTCATTTCAACCACACGAAGCTCATATTCCTTATATTCTACAGGTAAATATTGTTTTTTATTATTCATGAGGAAAAAAACATCTTCGATTGTTATAACCCAGATTGCAGTGGTTAGTTTGTAAACTGTGCACCAGACAGGGGGCAAGGCCTGCAAAGTTTGTTTTTTATTTCTTTAGAAATTAATCTCATTCATTGTTTTTCAAAATAATTGATTAAAGCAATATTTGTTTTGTACATAGGAGTAAAAAATGGGCTGACTTTTCTACCGACATCAGAAATGCAACATTTGCATGTATAGGTGCCCACTTTGCTATAATTATACATCAGATCTCAGGTGCCCAATAAAAACATTCCATTGAGGATTATAACTGTAAATTTCATGTGCAAAACATTTTGTCAATGAAGTGAATGGTTTGAACACATTGTGGAAGTATAGCTGCATGTTTGTTGATGTTGATCATAAAGGATACTACAGTATTGAGAAGGACTGTTGGGGGTAGTCTTGATTGATGTTTCCACACGTAGATGAGATGATTACTGGTAACAATGTTAAAATGTCATTCAACACTAATACCACTGACCTTCTTTAATCTTTTCCTGCCTGGAGTGTCAACTTCTATAGAGTTTCACTAAGTTACATTATAAGAAATATATTGAAATATCGTTTATTTTTGTTTCTAATTGATTACAATCTTTATGGTATGAACTTACTTGAGTTACTTCAGGTAAGTTCATTTTAGAGGATTTTCATTAAAAACAGGAAAGTTTCATTATTGGTTTTTTCAGCATTCTATTAAAATCTAACACCACAAATGATTATTTACCATCAAATTGAAATTATAGATAAAAATCTTTATATAATAATAAATCAATTCCATTTCATGGTTCATCTCGAAATTCATTTTTCAATTTTCCTTCATCTCAACACTGGAATGAAGACACTATTCCTGGGTTTGTCTTATTCATATATGTTTTACACTTGAAGATTAATTGAAATCAAAAGGATTTGTGCAAATCCTTAATCCTAAATTTGACACATGTGCGTATGATTTATGCCAAGATTTAGAGTCAATGCTCAATCCAGATTACAAAATTTACATTTAAAAAATTAGTTTAACTTTGGAATGATTCTTTGTGATAACTATCTTTACAGTTGATATTCATTATTTTAATGTTGGTCATTGGTCATTATTTAGAAATTTATGCCTGGATCCTACTGTGAAAAAAGTCAGTCGCTGTGGACTTGAATTTAATGTAATTGCTGAAGACATCTTGAATCAAATAAATGTTGAAAGTAAAATTTACTTATCTTTATGTCTTCATTTTACTGTTTATACATCTTTAATGAGTTTATTATGTTTATGAAGGTTGTATTGGTCATAATCCTGGTATAACTGCTATGTGGGAAGATGAAAGACAACGAAGACGAGATATTGGACTATCTTCACAAGTTGCTCTTCCTGTTTCACAAGGTAAGGTACAAAAAAGTACATGTCACATCATTGTATAGCTCACAATACATTTCATGTATTTTATATTGTCATGGTATTTATGATTTACGAGGCTCTGACTTATATATCCCAAAATGCAGCTGTTTTCTAGTGTATAAAATTTCATGTTTTCTTAAGTTTAAACATTGTCATCGTTACATGAAGATGTGTACAACTGCTCCTTTATTAATTTTCTTTTACTTAACAGTTAACAATACGTAGGTAAAAATTAGTTAACAAACTTTTTTGTCGTTAGATCGTATTCAGTGTAAGAATTAGTTGAGAAAAAACGATGTGCAATTTTTTTTGACAAAAGTGTTTCTTTAGAGGCATAATGAAATCGTTACTACGTTAATTATTATATAGCGCTAATTGCTAAATTATTATTTTTATACGTGAACAAATTCATATGATTTACGACAGTGTTTTTCGTTGCAACCGCTGATTCAGTTACAAATGTATGAGAGAAATTTTTTGCGCATGTTATTCTCTCCTCTTTTTTGTGCAAAAGTGAAAAGAGAATAACCGAATATACTTTTGCTTTCTGATTATTAACATCCTTGATGTTTTCTTACGATAAAAAACATCATATTTGTTCAAGGTTGCCAGTTTGGCTTAATAATTTGAGCCAAATTTCGTTTCTTTTTCTCACGTTAGGCTTATTTAAAATTCCCTTTGGTTTATTTTTCAAATTTGGCTTAGTTAAGTTTTTTTTTGTCTTCTTTTAAGAATCAAAATAAAAATGTTTCCTGATTTTACTGAAAATACTCCAAATATCTATGATGCCGAAAACAGTACGTCTCTTGGCTTGGCTTCGCGAACGAAGATTTTATGAAGGGGGCTGTCCACGTCGACTACAGGCACGCTTGTGGCTGACAAGTCCGATGCGAGACAAACAGGTTCGGCCGCAGCGGCTACAGTCAAAGGTCACGTCAGGTAAGGCTGCTGAAGCTTCCCGGTTCTTCCTCCTGCGGCGTTTCTCCCTCAAGTTCTCTGTACGAGAGTCCTCAAAGGAGGAGACAGCCTGGTGGACAGTACGAGGCCAGGCATCACGGTCAGCAGCAAGAATACACCACTGGCGGTGGTCGATATGGCAGGCTCCGAGGGACTTCTTAGGAGAGTCTTTGCAGCGTTTCTTCGGTGCCCCTCTGTCACGGTGGCCAGTGGAAAGTTCGCCATACAAGGCAATTTTGGGCCGGCGCTGAACATCCATTCTGGAAACGTGTCCTGCCCAACGTAGCTGTGACTTCAGTAGCATGGCCACGATGCTGGTGATCTCCGCCTGTGTGACGACCTCAACATTGGTGACGTAGTCACTCCAGTGAATGTTGAGGATGGTGCGGAGACAGCGCTGATGGAAACGCTCAAGGAGGCGTAGGTGGTGACGGTAGATTACCTACGACTCAGAGCCGTACAAGAGGGTGGTGAGTATGACGGCTCAGTACACGCTGATCTTGGTGCCCTTCTTCAAAGAATTGTTGTTCCACACTCTGTTATACAGTCTGCCAAAAGCGCTGCTTGCCTTGGCCAGTCTGTTGTCGACCTCCCTGTCGAACTTCGCATCTGATGTGATAACACATCCCAGGTAGGTGAACTGGTGAACGCTTTTCAGCTCAGTCTCGCCGATGGTAATGTGAGGATTGCACTCTACCCGAAGTGCAGGCTGATGGAGGACTTCCGTCTTTTTCAAGCTGACCTTGAGTCCGAAGAGCTGGGCAGCCTCTGCAAAACAGGACGTCAGGCGCTGCAGGTAACAGTATGTAACGGTTTACAAAACAACGCAAATGCAAAAATTGACATTAATAATGTATTACCCCCCTACTGTCATAAGCATATAAGCACCATGTATGTTGACTGTTGACAGACTTTCCAGTCTTAAAGTGACAACGTCTTTGAATTTGATGACATTGTGTCAACATGGATTTTAATGTCGTGCAGCGCACTTGTTTATAAAGTAAAGATCAGTAAAGATTAAGCTTGAAAACTTTCCTCAATTTATGTGGTAGTAATCAATAATGAAGTTTTTTGCACATCGTTTGAAAAAGTGATCTGCAATTGTTTTCATTTTAGCTAAAACGATGTGCAAATTGCACATTGCACACCGTTAATTCGCACACTGCCATGATTAGACATGGATATCAATGGTGATTGTGTACAGTTTCATTTGTGTTTAGTAAAATTTCTCTTATATGAAGTTTTTTAATCAATCTTTTTTATTTTATTGTTTATTGAGAAGGTAATGATGATGAACATGATGAAGATATTGATGAAGATAAAGAATCAATATTAATGCCACAGCCATTTTGGAAAGATGATGAAGAGGAACATGATTCCCTAAGATAAAAGTATCCATTTTTGTTTATAAAATAAAGACAGAAAAATGCGTGCGTTTTTGTCTATGGTTGAGTTAACATTAGCTAACTTGGCATGAGCGAACCTATCTGAGCTCAATCAGTTAAAATCAATCAAAGATAATTTCCAAATCAATCATGAATACATGTTACAGGAAAAATTAAAACATTTCTTTTTAATTTGTCTGTTTTGTATTATCGTTGTTTTATAAAAGAAGTAAAAGATGTTTTTTTGTGTTTACACAGGCTTATGCAAATCTTGGAGACGTTTGTGAGAACTTTGGAGCAGGTGCAAGCCTTTGACTCTGGACATCACTGATCGAGTTCTCCCAAAGGTCTCCTTGCTTTTCATAATCCTGTGCAAACACTGTAAACATCTTAAATTAAAAACAATCAATCTTCTCTAAAGTTTTGAGTAGCTGTCTTCTTCACTTGCAGTTCGGAGAATGAAGAGGAAATGGACTGGAAATCACCTTTACGTATGTCTCAAGAGGATGGTCTTGGTGATGACGAGGACTCCAGGTGACATGTGTAGTCAATCAATTTTCACTCCGCGAGAGAATCTCGAAACACTAAACACGCGTGTCTGTGTGTAATCTCTCGTGTCTGGATGTAAGATTTGGCTTTAATTATTTGCTTCAGGTAGCGTTCCATGTTCAATGGTAACAACATACATCATCTTAATGTAATTTTATTTGTTTAATTCCCACGCAGGCAGAAAGTTCTCTCTCATCCTAAATGTACAGCAGCCGTTCGACAAACATCATTTAGTAAAGATGGAAGGTAAATTTTACATATTACGTTTCATCTCACGGGAACAATTTCTTTGTTTACCCATGTAAAATTATTGTTTTTTGAACATTTTTCAAAGTCAAGGAAAGCATGTGAAAAGAACATAGATAACATTTTCATAATGATAAAATAACATGTTTTTCTCATTAAAACTTTCACTTTGCGAAGATATTTTACTATTTGTTTGCCTGTGGCATATTTTTCATTTATCTACCAAGAGCCCATTTCCAACGCGAAATTGAAAGTGACCGTTTTCGTTCATTGGTCATTGAAAAAAAGTTTTTTGCGAGATTTTAGAGTTGATTTCACAGTATTTACACCTTGTAAATTGTCAAGTTTTTTAGAGTAAAGTCCACTTTGACTGGATGGTAAATAATTTGCATAGCGAATATTTCACTTTTGAACAAACTTTGCGAAATTTTTCGGAGAAGTTAAGTGAATTAACCATGAAATATTTATTGATCCTGTTTACATATTTCTTTTCAGTGTTTTACTTTGTTTGCGATGATGGTACTATATGGAGATGGGATCGATCTCCTTGAACAATAAAAACGGTTTGAATTTTTTTAATGTTCGTATATTTTATTGTGTCATGAAATTTTTTACCCCGCAGTAAAAGGTCTTTCTGCGCAATGCTCGAGCGCATGCGCAGATGATTTCTCTATTAAATTGTTACTAAGCATGCTCTTTACTTCAAAATCGGTGCTAGTACGTGCAGTTGGTTATTGTGCTGTTGCCATGACCATGAATATGCGCAGCTGGTCAGGTAGACTGCGCATGCGCTGATGATTTACTTAAAATTTGTAACTATGTCGAAAGAATGCAACAACTCAAGCTTTTGAATAACGATATTTATTCCCTGGCAATGTTTATCTCAAACATATATTGCTCGCTTTCTCAGACTCTCTCTTCAACAACTTTCCAAAAAAAACATCAATCAAAATTCTTTTAAGCCTATTGGTTAACGAAATTATAAAAACTAGGGAGAATTTATCTCTCTGTCAGTAGGACATTCAATTAACATAACTTATTCCCAACATAGGTTCATGTTTAGATATTTAACTTATTCATATTCATATTTTTATTCATGTAACCTTTGCTGTTACTTTGTACATGCCATGATGTACAATTGAAACAAACGAATGAATAAATAATAACGAAGCGTACAAGTTGCTCGGACGCAAAAGTCAACTACTTTGCTTCGCAATTTTTCATACTTCATGTTTTGATACGATACAAAGCAGTGAAAGGTCTTACTGAGTTACATTTTTGTACATTTTGGTTGTATTATATTTATAAATTTGACTTCAGTTTAATTACACGTGTAACCATTAAAGCTCATTTGGTTAATGCTTTCTTGTGTTATTTTAAGACTAGACATTTAATCAAAGAATTTATCTTTACTAACTTCAAAAGTTTAAGCAAATTGTAATTCAGACGGTATTTTGTTTACTTCGACTGTTCAAACGTCGCGTATTAATTTTAACAAATTGATAGCATTTTACCGTTGTCTATACAGTTATAGATACACGGGTATGACGTCATTTGTGATAAAAACTAAGAAAGCGGCCACGAGCCACGACATTATTGTCAAAGGTGTTCAATTTTAAATGCTTCATTATCACCATAATACTCTATATTTAGTGAACAACGCTGCTATTGGTTGGTGTGGTGTACTCGAAGTGCAGGCTTGGGAAAGTATCACAAGCATCTATGAAACGAACGTCTATGGGGTACTGCGCGTCATCCGTGCTGTTGTTCCCTCTATGAAAAAAAACAAAAAAGGGCGCATCGTTAACATCAGCTCAATTGCTGGAATATATTGCTCCCCGTTCTTCACTGTGTATGGCTCATCAAAATATGCTTTAGAAGGAATTTCGGATTCTTTGGTCCCTGAGCTTGCATCGTTTAATGTTCAGTAAGTATCTAATGTAGAAAGCTACATAATATGTACAAAAAATTTCATTAACATAACATACACGTTTCATACACTCACAAATATTCTCAAAGTAATGTGCGAAGTGAGTTAAAATGAAAAAATCAAATATAACTATTTACAAGATATATCATCAATCATCAAAATACTTTTTATCGTGTTCCTTTCCGGACGAACTACTCTTTCGGGGAACCTTTGACTGTTTGAAAAACACAATTTCGTATGCTGATCTTATGTAAATTTGTATAGGCTATAATTAATATCCCAATTCTTATGCTAACTTTAAACTTTTATAGGGTTGCTTCTTGTATTTAAATTTAAAGACAGTTGTTGTGAATGAGGAGGGGGGAAGGGGAGGATAAGGGCTATTTAAATTTTTGTTTTTGCTTTAATTTTTCAAATTTATATCCAGGACCCTTATTTCCAGCCAGATGTATTGCTTGGAACCCCCTAACTAGAATCATGCTCCGTGGTCCTCAAAAGACATTGGTTGTATTATTATGGGTTCATTATTATAAAATCATGTCCGTGAAATTCTGCAATGTCTTATATGCAGCATGTAACAATTGCAAATATTTTTAAGCTACATGCTGTGTTTGTTGAAGCTGAAAAATATCTATGATAGCTAGACTAAAATATGTTCAATCTACGTAACCTCAGCATTGAAAAAAGCCAAGTCATAATTTTTTAGTTTTGAGATTTTGACAAGTTATTTATAGCTCTGTCTAGAGGTTTTCCATAAGGTTGAAATTTGGAAACCAGGCTGCTCATTGCATCATATTAAATCATTTTATTAGAGAGACATTTTAGGTAATTCACAAAAGACAATTCTTGTCATGTTAGGACACATCTTACCATATGAGTATTGAAATTTATGCGCAACAAAACGGTGATCCAAAAATCATATGCCTAAAATTTCCGAGCGCCTGATTGGACATGTCATTTTCTTCGCTAGTGAAAAACGTCGTATTCTGATTGAATATACTATATTTTCACTAAAGACAAAATGCATATCAACTTTTACAGCAAATCGTGCACAATGTTATGTCGCTGTTTTCTTCTTTGAAAGAACATTCGTACTCGTCGTAGTCGTACTTTTGCTAAAGCTCTTTATTGGTGGATGGTTGGAGGACATTTAAAAATTAGAACCAAGTGAAACACAAAGTGTGAAGTCGTCTTATCTAGCGCTGCTTTTTAAAATTTCTAGAAATATCGATATGCACATGTATTTGAAGCGTTTGATGAATTGATCAGCAATCAAAGCAGATAACTTGAACCAAGTCAAAACACAAACCGTGACGTTTCTTGTGTAGCACTACTATTAAAATTGTTTAAAATTGCTAGAAATATCAATATATACATGTATTATTCACACTTTATACATTTATCTGCAATCGAAGCAGATAACTAGTTTCATTTACTTTACTTTTCAAAGCATAGAAATATAACCATGCAAAATCGGTGGTTCTTGGTTATGGTCTATCAGGAGAGTGAAATATTTTTACACTTCATTTCTTGTTAAAGGCGAATGCTCTGCAAGACAGAATTTTTTTGGAGAATGACCTAGATTTGGTCGACTTTTGAAATCTACATGCGAAGAGTGTCTTGAAGAATCATTGCAACGCCAATCATTTTCAACTTTACAATACACTACTGACTACACAAAATGAACAAAACTACACAAAGTGAATAAGTATAATCTGAAGCACTGGAACACAACAAAAGCATGAACCTGGCCACCTCTACATTTTAGTTCCATGATTTGTGCGAATTCTTCGAGGGTAATGGTAAGTGCTAATATAGTTCAGAAATAAGTCAACGACTGTTTTAGCATCGTTGTTGGAGCAACTGAGAAAAAGGATGACTCTTGAAAACCCATCAACATAGCCACGGACAACCATCCTCCATCTTAGTAATTTGTGATTACCATCAAGATGCCTATTAAATAACAAAAGTATCAGTTTAATTAATAGGTTTGGCCATTGCATTTTGATAAATCATCATGAAACACCACTGTGACATTAATACTGCACAACACCATAATTCATTTGAGTAGGAACATAAATTCGTCGCTGAATAGATGCGTGTCTCCTAAGTTGTTTAGTAACATGGTCAATTCTGTTAATAGAAGCACGAGTTATTCTTCTTTGTTCGTGCACATTTTGGGATACCCGTGCTCCAGTAACCATTCTTTCCACAGAATTTGGTGAGTTTGCCAGTATCGCAGTCACCGTTCTATCAAATTGTTCATCAGTTATGCGGAATTATTGTTAGCACAAATAGACTTGTCAGACTCATCACGACGACGACTCAATGTTTTCGTAGAAAATCCTAACATTGCAGCAATTTCTTTGCATGAGAAATTTAAAGATCGAATTCTCACTACTTGACTGTCAGGAATATGAACTTGGGCCGTTCCTTACTACTACATCTCTTGGGACTTGAAAGGAAATAAAAGCGTTCATCAGGAACATTCTCAAATAGTTCTCCATCTATATTACTCAATCGTTTCAGCTCATTAATTAGTCGGCATATACAATCGAAATTTCGCCGCTACAAAGATGATGCGCTATTACAACCAATCAACCATTAATGAACGCATTGCACCGTTGGCATAAAACAATTGCGTAATAATTTTGCACAGTCTAAAGATTTCTTTTCAGATCAATTAAGACTTGTTTTCCAACAAAAGATACGTTAACAAATTGTCAAAGAAAAGAATTTCTTCACCGTTCGCCATGTCATATTACAACAGTGGTTTCCCAAAAATATGCGGTATGAACCATATAACTTTTCAGGGGTAAATTGAGTCTGTGATCAGTGTATATTTCAAAATTGGTTTATATTTTATGATTGAATTATATATTTCGACTTAAGTACCATTTATTATGAACAAGTATTTCTGTCCAATTTAGCGTGTCATAGTTGCTGCACCAGTGAATATAAAAATCAGCGTGTAGTTTTTACTTCAAGCATAAGAATATTTCTAATTTTTCTATTTTTGTAGTCTTAGAAAGTACATTACACAATTTCTAAAACGTCAAGGAAAAAAGAAAAGGGAAACGGATGGAGTTAAAGAATTCAACAAGGTTACAATGTAATTTGTCATGCTGAAAACTGCTACCCAAGTGTCCACTGATATGATTCATATTGTGCTCAAGCAGACTTGCTTATGAAAGGTGTAACGTATTTTTTAAAAAAGTTCGCCGTGCAAATTTGCACAATCTGAACTATAATGAAATTACTGTTTATCAGAGCTATTGTATTTGGATTTTACGTTAAAACAAGAAGTGTATAGTGGACGAAACTGGAAGAACACTGCATTAGAAACACTGATGGAACAATCAAGATCAAAAAATTATTTTCAACAGCTCATTTGAAGAGCATTGCCATATACAGAATAGGAAATTGTCACTTGCCAAATCCTTCCAGACGGTGTGACCTACTTGATTGCAGATAAGACTTAATTATAAGGAAAATTTTGGGAGCCTAGTCCAGCTTTTTAAGCTAAGCAGCAATTTCAAAGAGCAGTTTCATTTCAATAATGAACTTGTCATATTTTGATCATATTTAGCGTGTCGTTTGCTCGTTTGTGCTTGATGATCGAAAATTGTACTGAGTACAATTCACAAATGGTGTAATTCAAAGATGTAATCAAGAAAGCACTTGAGGCGTGTAGTGTGTGCATTTGAGGATGGAAGACACGACTATCTTCACGTAGCAGAACAATTTTCTGAACTGTTTCAATGTATTTAAAATATATACGTCAGAACTGGCATACGTGTAAATGAAATCTCTAATTTTGATTTATTTTGCTGGTTTTCTGGCTAAACAAAGCTCGTTTTATCAACCAGATGGCATAAGTGCATTCCCTAAAGAAGATCTACGTTGAAAAAACTTTAGTTCCTTTTTATTATTTTCTTTTAAATCTCGACAATCATCTTGTGATTTGAAAGAAGAAGGAAAATTGCACATACTTTTGATACTTTTATTGATGTGTAGAAATACTGACGCACAAACTGGCCTTAATCTCTCACTTTTAAGGAATCAATTTGAGGAAAGCGCATAAAGAAATGGTATGAAAATCGTACATTCAAACATCAGACGTCTTGGATATAACTTTGATATGTTGTAGTAGTTTGTAGAGTCGTATTATAGAATCGATTAATGCCTGAAACACATCTGACCGACGAAAGTTACAATCATTAATTGCCCGGATATAACAATGTTTGTAAAAAGGTTGGATGACATGTAAATGTACGGATGATTTGGAAGGAAGCCTCTCCGACCGTTTATGTATTGAATTATTGTAAATCATTAAAAATATTTTCAACTGGTTAAAAATATTAACTCGGATCACTATAGATCACGAATAAGCCCTTAATGACCGAGGGCGAGGTCTTTTACGGAGAAATAACAGACCAATCTTTATGATAAAGGGAGTCTCTCTGTTAATAACAACGTAAACTACAATGACTCTATCAAAAGAATCAAACCAACTCTTCCAGCGTGATCTCTATTAAACCAGCCAACATGCACTCGTTCAAACCGGATGAAGTAAGCCCTTCCGACCTTGCTAATGTGAACACTACAAACCCTGTCAACATTAACATCACCTAATCTCCAATAATCACCGCTTTCGCTTTACGCAAAGCTCACCTTTATAGGTTTGAGCGCTCTGGTGCGCTCTGGTGCGCTCTGGTGTCTCTACAATACAATCCATGAAATGTGTAACCGTACGTCCTGTGTCCCAAGTGCAGGAGTCACTATTTTAATATGGTGATAGCCGGGAGGACACATTGTATATACACTTTGCATATATACAAAGTCTGTATATATAGTCTGTATATATACAAAGTCTGTATATATAGTCTGTATATAAAGACTGTATATAAATATTCTGAGCCTGCGATGATATATATATATTTGAAAATTGGTAACCCAGGCATATTATGATAATGATAAGGGTTCTCTGGATTTGTTTTAAATTTTTATTAAGCTTTCTACTCGGTGCTTCGAGTCTTCGTCAGAATGTAAGAATATATTATTTACAAAGACTTTGTAGGCGTTTGGAGCGTCTGATTGGTTGGTTAGTACTTGAGTGGATATAAGTGTATAAAACAGAGTTACAGTATTCACCAAGGTACGTGATATACATATATATATGTTAGAGATCATTAGAAATGTGGGATAAGTACAAAAAAAAGAGAAGGGGGCGAGGGTTAGTAGAGAAAAGTACCTTAGTAGGGTAGGGTGTGTTGACAAAAGAACCTCAGTGGGGTTAGGGCAGTAGGTGATTTGGTCAGTAGGGAGGGGAAGGTGAGTAGACAAAAGTACCTTGGTAGGGTAGGGACGGTTGATGATTTAGTAAGTATGGAGGGGATGGACAGTGGGTTATTTGTACAGTAGGGAGGGGAGAGACAGTTGGTAAGAAATCATTATAAGCACATGTCAGACATGTTTGTTTTCATTTGTGATATGATTTTAGTTGTGATATGTTCTCTGGTTTGTTTGTATACCTTTTGTTTTTATACTTTTTCTTTATTCTTTTATGCTTTGTATTTCTACGTTTATGCTTTGTATTTTTCTACGTTTATACTTTGTACTTTTATACGTTTGTACTTGTACGTTTGTACTTATGCGTTTATACTTTTACTTTGTACTTATATACTTATACACTTATATACTTATATACTTATACACTTATATACTTATACACTTATATACTTATATACTTGTACTTATAACTTGTACTTCTATTTATACCTTTAGAGTTAGAAGAAATGCAAGAACGGGGATAGAAAGGGAAACCATGAACAAGAAAAGCAAGGAAGAATGGAAAGAAGAAAGAACAGCAGGACAAGGCAGAAAAAAGCAGGAACAAGGCAGCAGGGGAACAAAGGAGGCAGATGCTTAACCCGGATACTGAACCTAACCGTGGATACTGAACCTAACCGTGGATACTGAACCTAACCGTGGATACTGAACCTAACCGTGGATACTGAACCTAACCGTGGATACTGAACCTAACCGTGGATACCGACCCTGATCCTAACCCCATAAGAAATGCCACCACTTTCCTCGCCAGTATTGAAAACATTAAACTACGAGCAGACGAAATCATGATATCCTACGACGTGACACCACTCTTCACATCCATACCACTAGACATCGCCAAACAAATTACAAACGAACTACTCACAAACGACAAAACTTGGCAAGCTACAACACAACTAGACAAAAATGACATCCTAGACTTACTCAACCTTTGCCTCTCCACTGAATTCACCTTCCAAAACACATACTACAGACAAATTTCAGGCACACCAATGGGATCACCACTATCCACCTTCCTCGCAGAAGCTGTCATGCAACACCTCGAAACACAATCAGTCACAAACAACACAAACATCAGACTATGGAAAAGATATGGCGACGACATCTTTTGCCATAGTCAAGAAAGACAAAACTGAACAAATCCTACACACCATAAACAATACCACAAAGAACATTACCTTTACTAAAGACGAAGAACACGACAAACAACTTACCTTCCTCGACATCCTACTAACCAGAACAGATGACGGTACACTAAACACACAAGTATAACGCAAAACCACCCACACAGACCAAATACTCGATTTCAACAGCAATCATCCAACACAACACAAAATAAGCTGCATTCGAACACTTTTCAACAGGATAAACACTCATTGTAATACGGAAGAAGCCAAAAAAACGAACGCAACTACTTATACTCCACATTTATTAAAAACAACTACCCTAGAAACTTCATAAACAAAACTATATACAAATTACAAAATAAAACACAAACCGACAAAAGCCACATAAAACCGGACGAAACAGTAAAATGAATGTTTTTATGCAGTGCGGTATTTGAAATTAAATGAAGATATGATCTTCGCACTTTGCTGGACAATTTAACAGCGCGTTCAGACTGAGTGCTCCGGTACGGTGCTCAGGCACGGGCACCAATGTGAACGCAAAGAACGGCGTCACAACAGAGATAGCGGGTGCTAAATGGACGAACGAGGAAACAGTTGCTCTTTTGAACGCTTATAACTCGGAAACTGTGCAGAACAACATTGATAGTATGAGCTCAAATAAAGAATTGTTTAACAATATACAAAGAATCATGAAAGAAGAGTCGCATACAG